ACAACTCCTACACTACATGTGTAAATGATTGTTATTGTTATGAGGATGCATATATTGTAGGAGGATGATTGTTAGATTAAGGTATTGAGGATGTGTATGGGGGGGAATTACAGCCTCCAAGCACTGATAATCCCCCTCTTTGTCAATGACCTGCTTAACTACAGCTCTCAGTGTGGCCCCCAAAGCTCACAAATGCACAAACACATAGACACATGCAGCCAGGAGCAGTGTATTAATATGAGTTGCCGTCTATTTGTCCAGTATTAACCCTGTTGCACTGGCAGGTCTCCAGATTAGTATGTGTGCCTTGTGGTTGCAGGAGGGTGTGGGGGTGGGGGGGTAATTGTTGATTACAGCAACTAAAAGAAGACAGATATGATGAGATATCGATTCCTGGCCAGAGCTGTTTGTGGAAATTGTGTGTTGCCATGTTACATTAGTGTATGGGCCTTTTTCTTCTGGTGCCACAGAGAGAAGGTGATGGAGAGAGTGTGTGTGTGTGTGTGTGTGTGTGTGTGTGTGCGTGCATGTTCGAGCGTGCACCACATGGGATCATGTCAGAGTGGCAAAACAAAAGCACAGAAAAGGTCAGGCTGGTGTCAGCACAGTTTTCTCTGGGTCACAGATGGTGTGGTGGGCAGAATGTAAGGCTGAGGGTGATGTGGAGGAGGGGGTCTCTGGAATGTCTTTGCGTGCGTGTGTGTGTGTGTGTGTGTGTGTGTGTGTGTGTGTGTGTGTTTGTGTGTGTGTGTGAGTGTGAGGTAGGGGTGGGCTATTTGTGAACGCATAGAGAATGTGTGTGCTGTTTAAGTGCAGGCAAGTGTCTGCCTGAGTGTGAAAGGAGGAGGGAGAGAAAGTGATGAGGAGGGAGGGAGGGAGGGAGTGTGGCAAAGAGAAGTAGGAGGTGGTGTGAGAAGGAGCAGGGGAGCGAGAGGGGAGTGGCAGGGAAGGGGGGTGAGAGGGAATAAATGGAGTGGTGGTGGCGAGGGGGGTTAGAGAGAGAATGCGGTGCACCGTGCTTGTCACTCAGAGAGCTGTGCCTGCAGTTCAATCGATGACGACGGTATGACAACACCTCTGTGTGTGTCAAAAGTTGCCCTCCTCTTTCTTCTTTTCCCAGTCTTCACACTCTCCATGTTTCCTACCTCCCTCCAAGGTGCTGAGGAGGAGGCGAGAGACTGAAGGATGGTGTGGCTGCAGAGTCAGCTCCTTCTGTCCTCCCTCTGATGTCAAGGTCTCTGCAACGGCGCCCAAGTTACCACCGTGCGCCCTCAAGCCCACCGACCCATTGGGGAGGGGGTTGCCGTGCTGTGAAATGTCTGTACCTCACGATGTGTATGTGCGTGTGTGATGGGGATGGAGGGGGGTGGGGGGGGCCGAATGGGAAATTAGTGAAGCAGATTCGTGATGAGGCTGCCGGAGGTGGTGGAGGGAGGTTGGGGTGGGGTTATTGATTTGATAAGCTGTGCCAGGCGGCCAATCGAAGGCTGTAGATTTTCCAGGTTCCGACCCCTCTATCCCCAGCATTTATTAGAACGTTTTATTTTAGGAGGAAAAGGATGAAATTCATGAGCCAAGGTTGATCCTCCTGATCCCTCCCTTCTCACTCTCCCTCGCTCCCCCCTCCCCCTCTGTCCCAGTCCCTCTTTCACTCTCTCTCTGTCTTTTTCTCAGTCAATCGATGCCCACACCCCTCCTCATAAATGCAAGGCTTTATATACGCCAACTCTCATCTCTTGGAGCACATTTAAATAAGCTCATCGATCTTTCATTTTAGAGTTTAAGTGACGGCAGCATTTTACTGTCTCCCTCCTCCTCCTCCACTTCTTCCTCTCCCCTTTCCTCCACCTCTCATCTGCTCACCTCGCCGCCCTCCCTCCCTCCCTTCTTTATTCATAACTTACCCCCAACACCCCTTCACTTCCTCCCAGTCTCTGAGAGCGTTCTGCTCCACAGCTGTTTGACTGATTCACGTTTCGAGCATGGATCCAGATGGAGCCTCATTCTACACTTTATATTCCACATGAAGTCTAGGGTGGGGGTCACATTTAGCGTATTTCAAAATGTAAATCATATTCTATACTACTAACAGGCCAGAGTGCTGTTGGTGAAATGAAAGAAAACTTTGCCAGCTGTTATACAGCTTTGCAGTTTGAAAGCCATGCATTTTGTAAAATTGGAAAATGATTTTACAAACACCAAATCAAATGGGACCATTTCATATTTTGAATGTCATTAAAACAGGAAAATGGCTTCACATAGCAACAGGGATATGAGCAATTAGGTCTGTAATACAGAGAATGGGGAATTATTTTGTCCTATCTTTGCTAATGTGGGTAATGATAATGGTCCATTAGAAGCCAAAGTGTTATAAAAACTACCCATGGTCTTTATTATTGCTCCCCTTGCCCAAGGTAATTGAATAAAGTGTGGCTTGAGCATTCCAGCTGTTAAACCATTTCTCTCCACTCTCGTCTAAATCATTTCAGGTCACAGTTTTTGGGCTCTCACTAAAGTTTAGCTTCTCATCTTGACTTTGGAAGTTGCCTTCATTTTCAATGAGGCCAAAGACAGCATCATCACGCTGTCCCCCTTTGTGGATCTGTTAGTGCGATTAGGGCTGATATGACACATGTCATTGGCTCAGCTGAGCCAGAGCCTGATGCTGATTGGACCACACGCATAAGTGAACCGAGGCAACTGTTATGACGTGTGATGGTGGGCTGTAGGACGGGCGAGTTCAAATCAGACAGACTAGCGTGCAACTTGCACATGTGCACTCTCATACACACACTCACATGCACACCAAGGCCCTCTCTGTCATCATTGTCAAACAGTTAAAGCCGAGGAGGACATTTGCCTCACCATGCTGTAATGAGGCGACGGTACATTAGAAGCCTTGTCTCGTCTTGAGCTGATTATCATTGTCCACGCTGCACAACCTGACCATGACTTCTCCACCTCTGTGACACTCTTTTAAATCTTGTGTCTGTTTCCTGGGTCGGAGACTAGACACAACCACGTCTGCATCTTGTTAAATTCACAAAAGTCATTTTACCACAAATAGGACATTAAATAAAAATCTACTTTGAGGCTTAGAATAACAAAATGAAATGTCAAATACAAGTGAAATAAAGTTTTAGTTGTCATCCAG